CTCAAGCACACAGAGCGACGTCTGGCTTCAAGGTAAGCGTCTGGTCAAGCTTGTTTGAGTGTGTTATGCCTGTCGGTGAGCTCGAAGCTCTGTAGCGAGGGTTCATCCGGCAAGGCCAGAGACTGTGTATTTTGGCCGATTACTATCGGGAAGTTTTACGTGACGCTTATTGTTGCCTCTTTGCACGACTGGGAGTGCTTGAATTGCCCCCCTTTCATTCTTCCAGCCGAGTGTTGAACACTCGGTGCCCTCGTAAAACGCTGACCCGTGCCTGGTACCCTTCCGCTGTTGGGACCACGAGGATTTATAACACATACTAGCTTTGCTCGTGCTAGTAGCGTGTTATTAGTTTTACTGGCTGGCCTATATAAGTAGTTTACAAGGTCCAGTTTGTCCCGGAGCAAGGGCAGAACTGGGGTCTTCAGGTCCGCCCGACCGATCTTTTACTATCCTAGTAAACGTATTGTTGTGGAACGTCCTAACTACATTTGTAGCTAGAGTTCACGTGGAATTCCAACGTTACAACACTAAAAAAATGCTACGAACATCGCTGTTATACAACTTTGCTTTGTTGGCGTTGGGTTGCGCGAACCTCAGCGAGCTGATAGTTTCGCGATTGTAGAAAAGTGTACGCACGAAGAATATTTTTTATTAAAAAAAAGCTATTCTAACAAGCCGATAATAGAGATGTTTCGCTAACGGTTTTACCTTCTCATTATCCTTACAACTTCTACAGCAGAACATAAATGAGACAACACTTGCTGATGTGAAGATTTTTCGCCGCAGAATTCATCAAAATGTGGAGAACAAAATCCTCAGCAATTTTGTGTACGCCACACAATATATTGCGAAGTTATGGTGCGACTCCAACTTAATCTATAAATGTGTTATCTTCACTATATCTTCGCAGCAAATCTGGGTAGCGATAAGGTGAAGATACGGAAGTTTGCGGAACTTCTCTAATAGTAGTACAAGCGTACCTCGTATTTGCAGGTGAGGTAAATATCGAGCTGTAATCACCAGGTATAATTTACGCCAATATGACCTCAAAAAAGTCAAACGCTTGCATCGAGACAATGAAAATTTCTTACGCTTAAGTTTGTAAATGTATGTTTTAACTAGTAGTAGAAGATTGCTGTCCGACGTTTCTCGTATTCTGAGCTGATTTGTACTGAAATCAAATCTTACACCATTTTTTCGCAACAGCAAAACACAGTAGCTATAAGTTTTCTCCGCATCCGAAGCTTTGTCGCTGGGCTTCGTTACGATGACGATTTCTTAAGCTTAATCAATTTTTTCAACCTCTCCGCTTCCATCACCTTCTTGGCCAGATCGAGGACTTTGCTAACGTCTATATCCGGCTTCGGGACGATCTTGTTAGTAGTATGGGTTATGGTTTTCCAGACTCCACCTTTCCCGTCCAGCTTGCCGCTTTGGACAACTTCTTGGCCTTCGACCCGAAGTAATCTTTTTTCAGGGGACGCCACGGACAAGAACTGAGGCTCATTGGGATTCGGGAACGATGCGACGACGCTACTGCGAGCTACGACCGCAAATGCAAGAGCGCTGTAGAATATTCTGCGCATGGGTTGTAGACAGGGATTCCACTGGAATGAAGGGTCTTGTGGTCTGCAAAGAAAAACGTGAAGTGAGTGCCGGGCATTCTCACTAGCAGACAAAACCGGTGGACGACGTCTCACAGCTACGGAGTGAACGGGTTGCGCCCATTGGTACTTACTCAGTGCCAATGGTCACGGAATTGCGATTGTGGAAATCCGACAGAAGTGGCTGTATCAAACACAAACATAACTAGTTTAGGAGGTAAAAACACACACACCACAAATGAGCACGTTCCCGCAGCTTAGGTGTCGAA